TCCGCCCTGGATTCCCTGTGTTTCCAGTTCCTATCTGTACCAGTGTACATCCTCTGGTCTAGCCAGACTTGCAAGGCAGAATTGGGATCATGATGGGGGTGGGGTGGGGGGAGGAAGCATTTAGGAACTAGAGGAAAGTTGTATTTTTCATTGTTGTTACATTGCACCCTGACTGGCTCGTCTAAGGGAAAAAAATCATTTCATTTTCCAAAGATAGCAACTTTATTCTTTTCCAACATCTTGTTCTGTTTATTCAGAGAAAGCACAAAATAAAGACTGAAAACTTATTTTAATTTTAGATTAGGAAAAATATAACCACCAAACACAAAAAGCAACTGATAGATTAAGGGAGAAAGTTTGCATTACATATTAAAAAACCCCTATTTAATCAGTTACAAGAGATAACCAAATGAAAACATGAGCAACGATTAGAAATACGGGATTCACACAGAAGAGGAAATTCAAACAGCCAGTATGACAAGATGACCTACAAAGAAAATATGAATCTTTCTTCCTTGTTGTTCAGTAAGTTAATCTTTTGTCCATTCTGACCAGCAAAAATGAGAAGGAACAGTATATGCAAATTACTGTGAGTTACTACAGTCTTTTAATAAAGATATCCTAGGTTTATATTCCCTTTGGCATTATTTTCTGTCCTAGGGGTTTGTTCTGTGGAAATGAAAACATTACACATATGAGGATGGCGTTCATTCTCGTACCGGCAAACAGCTGCACATAAGCCACATGCTCACAGACAGAAAATCCTCTGCGCTGTGTCAGTTCCCACCCTGTGTAGCATAGGCTCCCAATCTCTTTTGGCCTACTCCCCTCTTTGCAGAAATAAAGAAAAAAAATTATTCTGTGTCCTCTCACAACTAACAACTTTTGTAGGCCATACTCTGGGATACAGTGTAGGTATTTACTTTTGCATTGCCCCCCTGGATTGTTCTAGTGGTCCCAGGGCGTGGTCTCACTCTGGTAAATAGGGTTTCTGAGACTACATCTTTAATGGAGCAGACCGCCCTGGTGGGTCTCCACCTGGAGCACTTCCACGCCATCCCCACAGACAGGTGTCCCAGTGGCCACGAAAGTCACCCCTCTGTAGGTTTTCTCTTCTTTGATATCTTAGTCCTTCTGGTCTGAGTTGATTTTGTTGTTCTTTGGCGTTTTAAGACAATAATATTTTTTAATGTATTTTGTTTTGGGCAAGAGCGCTTTGTTTTTGGTAAGTACCTGAATGCCAGCGCGCCATGTTATTAGCTTGTAGAAATCTAAGTAGTTCAAATTTAATTCATTGTCTGGGAAAGAAAATTGAATGACCTTACAAGATGGGTAGGAATTATCTCCTGGGTCTCAATAAGTCTGGCTGTATTTGTTGTATTAACTTTTTCCGGGTATCAGGCTCATGTTGTGTTCTTCGTCGTGCCACTGGTTTTATAACCTTCATAAGCTGACTGCAAGATGGCCTGGTGGCCTAGTGGGTTACACATAGGACTACTAACCACAAGGTCAGCAGTTGAAACCACCAGTCACTCTAAAGGAGAACGATGAACTTGTCTGGTTCTTTAAAGAATTTACAGTTTCAGAAGTCCTGGGGAATAGTTCTGCCCTATGGGGACAGTATGAGTCGGAATTGACTCAGTGGGTAAGCTAGCTGCAGTCTTAGGTAAAACTTGGGCATTCACCTTAATCACTCAGTGCTTCTAACCCGTGACCTGCCTCATGGTATGCTCAAGAAGAAGGAAAACCATTTCAGTTTAGTCTGGGAAAAATGATATGGCTTTAATTTTAAGCATCTCTATTCCACAGACCTTGAGGCCCTGTTTGATCTGACTTCCCATTTGGCTTAAATGACGTTGTCATTGTCTTTGTTGCTGGTTTTTTTTTTTTTTTGTTTTTTTTTGGTTTTGAGTAGTAAATCGTTTTCACTTCTTGATCCTCTGGTTTTGTTCACCCACGATCAGCAATGAACTTGAGCCACTGACTGACTGGATATTTAAGCTGCATAAATTCCTTAATGTGATATTCCTTTGATTAGCTCTGTATAAAAATGTTAAAAGACCAACAAAGCGAGTAGAGAGACGTTTGTTTGATAGCATGTCTTTGGGTTTTAGTACAATTGGAGGGAAAAGATTGATTTACCATAAGGCCACCCAGTTGCTTTTGGTCAGGCCTCTTGTGCTAGTTTCATAGACCTAGCAAGTTATCACAATCGGGGGGCCGTAGACAACAGTAATTTATTCTCCCCCAATCTGGAAACCGGAAGTCCAAATCAGGGTGTCAGCGGCTTTCTCCCGAGGCTTGGAGAGAGGATCCGTCTCTTCCTTCCTCTAGCTTCTGGTGCTGCACAGCCCTGGGTGGGTTACGCTGGCTTGTGTTCATGTAGCTCCAGTCTCTGCATCCGTCTTCATGTGGACTTCTTCTCTGTCTCACATCTTCATCCTCTCGGGCTTGTCTTAAAGGGTTACCACACTAAGTCCAGAATGAGATTCTGAGCATGATTTCATCTGCAAAACCCCCATTTTCAAAGACAAGTTCCATGTGTACATTTATTTTGAGGAGGAAGGGGTCACAGTTTGAATTGTTACAGCCTCCACTCCAGATAAGTGCAGGCAGCCCTTGTGGTGCAGTGGTTAAGTGCTCAGCTCCTAATCAAATACGAGTGACTCTACCCTGTCCTTTATGGTTGCTAGGAGTCGTAATCATTTTGGCAGCCTCAGGCTTGCGGCTTGACTACCCCCACTCACACCCTACCACACCCCTGCCGCCATCCCCAAGCAGGGGAACAGGCTAGGGAAGAATGTTAAGAATTGGTAAAGAAATACCTTCAAGAAAGATGACCAGAGACCCAGCTATGCTGGCAGCAGGTAAATAAACTCTAGATATGCAAGTGAAAAAACATTGTCTTGAACTTGTAAAACGCATTGTCAAGTGACTGTTTTTGTTTTTCTTTTACGTGAAATCTTATGCTATCTGTCCCAGAAAGGTAAGATGGTATGGAAAAGGAAAAGCACCCCTTTTAATGACCATTTCAGAAGGAGAGAGGTGACAGCTTCTTTTGTCTTAGAATGTGGAGGGCAAGAGTGTTAGGTCTCATCCCATTTTGGGGTTAACGGACAGCAACAAGGCCACAGAACAGGAAGTCCATTGCCCGTCTTGTGCCAGCCTTTCAGGGACAGCTGTGGTGGAAGCAAGACCTGCCCCGTTTCTCACCATTACAGGCCGTTCTTTCCCCGCAGATCGAGGAGACTGGCAGCGGGACAGGAAGTTCAGCTATGGTGGTGGGAACCCCCCATGGGGCAGCGAGCGGCACCATCAGTATGAGCAGCACTGGTACAAGGACCACCATTACGGGGACCGGCGGCACATGGATTCCCACCGCTCTGGGAGCTACCGACCCAACAACCTGTCTCGAAAGAGACCTTACGACCAGTATAGCAGTGACCGAGACCATCGGGGACACCGAGATTATTATGACAGGTATGCTGAAAGCCCAGACCGCCAGGTGCTGACTCTCCCAGGGGCTTTCTGTACTCCGGGAGAGAACATCTCTGACGTGCCCGCACAGCCCTTCTAGTTAGGGATACCAAATTGGATCAGATGTCCCTGCCATCACGGTGTCTTCAGGTTGTTAAGAAGAATCATGATAACAGGACAGGCGTGTGTGCTGAGAGGAGGCCGAGGGTAGGGAATTTTTTTTCTGAAAGCTGAGGAAGATGTGGAGATGCTGATTGTTATAGCTAGGTTGTGAAGAGGAGCCAGCTAAGCAGAGAGTATATGGAACAGGCACTCCTGAAGGGGAGGCTATCAGGCGAGTAGGCTGAATGATGGGCAGCGCCCCTGAAAGCAGTGGTTTAGTTTCATGCTGTGGACCATGAATACTGCCTTGGTCTTCTCTTTTCACCTGTCTAAGGAAGGAGTTCTCTTCCTGCCTCTGAGGAACTGCAGAAAGAACTCGTAATCAGATAGAATCATTCACCCCAACTCTCGAGCTCTCTGTTAGACTCTCAGCCACCCTAGGTAGCAGGGATCGCCATCTGGGTACCAGCCCATGGCTCCCTACCCCCAGGAGCCCACAATATCATACCCAAAGCCTCTTGAAATTCACCTTCTAGGACTAAAATGCCACCAATTGTGTGGTTTTTAAGCTGCAAGGGTTGTCAAGTTGAATTAGGGGGAAAGGTTTTGGCCTAAAAACATTTTTTTTTAACTTTGTAGCAATATGATATGTATTTAGCAGTATGATCTACATATATATTTAGCAATATGATATTAAATGGGGAAATGTCACATGAACATTTCAATGTCTTCCCTTTTTTTCTCTTCTAGAAGATGTGGTAGCAGCTGTCATTTTCACAGGGGACCCTGTACCCCTCATTCCTTACTCATTCTTCTTCTCTCTTGTCCCATCTGGCTCCAGTGGGCGTTTGTGTTTTTGATCCTCTTGGAGTGATATGAGGCAAATGCAGCTACTCTTCACAGCAGGGCTGAGGGGTGCTCATGACTCAGTCGGACTGGCCCTGATAGAAGTACGATAGCAGCCTTGCTACCAGCCGAATCCACTGTGTCAGATCACTTTCCAGGCCGGAAACTCAAAGCGACCCAACAGGACAGAATAGAACTGCTGCTTTGTAGCATTTCTGAGGCTGTAAATGTATACTTAAAGGTTCTATAGCAGTTTTATTAACACAATTCACATGCCATGCAGTTCAGTGGGTAAACATATTAGGAAGAATTGTGTAAAGTTATCATCACAAACCATTTAAGAGCACGTTCTTCTTTCTGTGCTTATTATTAGCTCCCCATTTCTCCCTAACCTCCTGCCATAACCCTAAGAAACTATTAATCCAGTTACTCTCAGATTTACCTATCCTGGTTTTTATACAAAGAAAAACATACCCTCCCCCACCCCCACCCCAAAACAATACAAAATAAAACACAAAAGAATTCAAACCAAAAGAAAGCAGAAAGTAAAAACTAGAACAAATTTAAAATGGGTCAAAAAGGGAGAGCAAATAATGTGTTAAATTTTACCCTAATTACATCAGCAGTAATCCACTTTACAATGCGTTCTGTCTAGTAGCAAGGCCACTCACACCCGTGGGCATAGTCGGAGGCGATTCTTTAAAGGCTTAATCCATGTGGGTGACACTGCAAATGGATTTTGGGTATTCATGATCAACCATAACCTTCTTCTGCAAACTGCCTGCCCAGATTTTAAGCTCTAATACAGTTCCTCCCCTGGTCTTGGATTTTATTATTTACAATCCTTGGGTCACTAAAGCTGGCGTACTCCTTCTGTGTGGACTTAGGTGACATCTAATTTAGATGGCTGCTCGTTTTCAGACAAGCCTTTAAGACCCCAGACACTATTTGTTCTGATAGCCAGGCACGCTATGATTTCTTTACTACACTTAACTCTGTCTGCAGTGATCTCTTCATCAGGACGAATACTGAATATGGCTGTATCATAAAAATGAATCGTTCTTTGATTGGGCTTACAATTAAGTATGAGTTCAAAATCCATTCCTATGGTTATGGATTATCCATGTTCCTGGCTCATCTTTATAATTTTATTGTGGAATATTATAAATCATCCCTGTGGGACACACATTCTAGTGATGAGGAAAGTATGCGTGTATAGGACAGCTTTTTAGAGTAAAATACATGGACTGTTGACTTGTACAGATTAAAAACTCAAGTGATTGGACACTATACAACTGATGGGGTTTGAAGATAGGGTGAAACTTTCAATAATGCTCATTCACTAAGGCAGAACTATGCCTGTGAATTTGAAAACCACAAATATATGGTAGTCTTGAATTGCTAAGTCTCAGGCACCCTCAGAACAAGAGATGTGAACCAAAGTCCAGTGACTCCTAAATCTGTAACTTTGAGATAGTGGTAGTTCTCTGCCCCTTCTCAGACTTCACAGAAGAGAACGGCCTCATCTTTCTCCCTCTGCACTGTTGCTGGGTTGGAGCTGCCAACCTTAGGATTAGCTGGCCAGTGCCCAACCCACAGTAGCCTGCTACAGGACTGGCCAATGATCCCGGAACGACTGTCTCCTCTTAGTGTGGGGCACACAGTAGCTATGTAGTCAAATTTTTTTTTATGGCAGCCGCAAGTTTTTGTACTTTAGGCTAAAGGAAAAAAGAAAAATTTTGGATGATAGGTTTATATCTGATGTGACTCAGGTTAACTGGTTCATTTTATATCTGCTCCTGCTCATATGAGCACATACAACGTGCTTTCTAGTCCTCTTTTTAAAAACGAGTCAAGTTTGAGTCCAGTGCCTTGTACTTATTTGTGTGATTTGTGCAAGATGTCCTCTTGAGTCTGTTCTCGACGCTGAACTGGAGTAATTAACCTAGCACACCTGGTGGCTGCAGGAGTGAAAGAACGGGGTACTACCAGATGCTAGCGACAGTCGTATTGTTCCCAACATTGGGCCAAGCCTTGCCTTTTCTGGCTGTCTACTTCCCCTTCCAGATCGCAGGAGACCACACTGGGTGGCTCCTCTGGCCTTTGAGGGCTCAGACTAGCCTGCAGAGTTTGAAAGCCACTGGGGAGACCCAAGTGACTGGTCTGAAGTCACATATCTTACTCTCTTTCTTTTTAATAAATTGTTTTATTATTGTTTTTATATTTTACACCATCCATTGTCACCCTTCACCCACATTTTTGTTGTTCATCCCCCTTGGGTGGGTGTGGGGGTTATACATCAATCCTTGTGATTGGTTCCCCTGTTCTACCCCTCCCCCTCCCCTCATGGTCTCACTACTCCCATTACTGATCCTGTGTTCCTGAGGGGTTTATTTGTCCTGGATTCTGTGTGTCGAGAACTCTTTTATCTCTACCAGTGTACATGCTCCAGTCTAGCCAGGTTTATAAGGTAGAACTGGGGTCATGATGGGGGTGGAGGGTGGGCATTAAGCAACTAGAGGAATGTTGTGTGTTTTGTCGGTGCTATGCTACACCCTGGCTGGCTCATCCTTTCTTTGTGACCCTTGATATCCTATTGTCTACAGATGGGCTTTGGGTCTCCACTCCAACCCACCTTGTTCCCATTGAGTATGATTGTTTTGGGTCTTCTGATGCCTGATACCTGATCCTGTTGACACCTTGTGATCACACAGGCTGGTGTACTTCTTCCATGTGTGCTTTGTTGTTTCCCTGCTAGATGGCCACTTGTTTAACTTCAAGCCTTTAAGACCCCAGATGCTCTATCTTTTAATAGCTGAGCACCATCAGCTTTATTCACCACATTTGCTGTGTACCCATTTTGTCTTCAGCTGTAGTGTCGGGAAGGTGAGCATAATGGAATGCCAGGTTATTAGAACAAAGTGTTCTTGCGTTGAGGGAGGACTTGAGTAGAGGCCCAATGTTCATCTGCTTCCTTAATACCTAACATATAAATATATGTACATAGGCCTATATGTCTATCATATATTGATATATTTACATGTGTGCATGCCTATATTTTAAGGTGACGAGATTTTAACATTGGTAAAGCGGGACGCCATTGATAAAACTCATATCCTGGTGAAATAGCCACTTGGCAGCCGAAAACCGTATACCCTGTTTCCTTTTACTTTCCTCCTGTCCCTCTACTGTGTTCAACCTTCATTTGGCTCTCAGTAATTCTTCTCCACTACATTGACCTTGATCAAACCCCACCAGGCATTCTATGCCCTTGCCATTGATTTTAGATCTCTTGTTGTTCCCTTGGCCCTGGGTTTGTTGGCTCCCCCTACCCTCTCTCCCCCCACCCCCTCTCTCCTGCCCTCCCACCCCCCTCCCCCGAGCCATCAGGCCCATTGTTTTCTCCTGGGGATAGATTATCTTTCCTCGTGTACAGATAGACAAGAAGAAGAAGGGGTGGGGGGGTGGGGGTTAGAGGGCATAGTTCCACATCTGTATGCTGACCCTTATGTATGTTTTCCGATCGAGTCTGAAGAGGTGACAAGCCCTGTCCTCTGTTTCTGAAGTCTATCACTGGGATTCCTCCAGGACTTTGTTGCTTTGCTCCCTTCCTGTTTTGCCCCAGTGTCAGGCCAGGTACATTTCCTGTACTGTCTCCAGTGCTGTCCCTTGCAGTGCCGTGGGTCAGTGAGGGCACATTTTATCCTGACCTCTTACACCCTTTTTTTACTTCAAAGTAAGACTTGTGCCCTCCTGTAATATCAATGGGAGTACTTCAATAGATCCATCTCATGACCACAGACAGGTTTTCAAATCACAGCACTCTTTATTTTAAAGTAACACATACTTTTCCTCATGTACTGTGAATTCCTGAGAATGTCCTCTCATGCAAAGAAATTCTTTTTCTTGCAGTGTTACTGACCAGAGCCTCCCATTGAGGTTGAATAGAAATAGTGTTATTTCTGCTATAGGGGTCAAAGCATTTAATCCTGCACTCTTCAGTAGGATGTTTGCTGCAGCCAAAAATGCATGTGTGTGCATACATGTTGATCATTCCTTTTACTGTTACTAATAGCATAAAGTCATTTCTGTGGCTTGTGTTCCTCTTAGAGTGGCTCATGTAATGGGAACATGCTTGTGCATCTTACCAGGGCTTCCTCGAAGGGCGCATGATTTTACAAAGCCATCAGTGATTCTAGAGCTGAAGAGAAACCGTTCTCTTGAGGGCTTGCTTGAGGCCATTTTGTAGGATGCGTTTTCCTTTATTATTACTTTAGGTGTTTTTTTGGTGCCTACCCATGCTAACGTTTGCCCGTGAGTCTGTTGGAAGAATGCCCGAGGAGGGGTGCACGAGACAGAGCCGATGGATGGGGTGATAGAGACGTGGATGGGAATCTGGCTTCAGTCTCTCAGCTAATCCTTGGGCTTCTGTTTCAGGCACCATCATGACTCCAAGCGACGAAGATCTGATGACTTTAGGCCTCAAAATTACCATCAGCAGGATTTCCGACGAATGTCTGATCACCGCCCACCTATGGGTTACCACGGCCAGGGACCCTCGGACCATTACCGCTCTTTCCACACAGACAAATTGGGAGAATATAAACAGCCTCTCCCGCCATTGCACCCTGGAGTCTCAGATCCTCGCTCACCACCTTCTCAGAAATCTCCTCACGATTCCAAGTCACCCCTGGATCACAGGTCTCCTTTGGAGAGATCACTAGAACAGAGAAACAACCCGGATTATAACTGGAATGTACGGAAAACTTAGGCGAGAGCTTGGAAAGGGAAGGGCTGGCGTCATCAAGCACCTGGATGTTCTTGGTCTGATCCAACAGTAACCAGGTATTTTGACCAGCGGCGAGTTTCTGGACCTGCTGCTGCCCGTCAGCTCACCGGCTGGAGGAGCCCTTCGCCGAGTAGGGCTTGTGTCTGGTCCAGCGTGGATTTGGGTCACCGCTTCTGCACTTTGGCACCCCATCTCATTCCAGCCTCGCTCTGGCCTCCTACTTTTATGGGTGCTAGCAGGAAGTGATGACTTTGTGTACCAGCAGTATAAGGGTAGTCCCCAGGGCAGGAAGAGGGGACCCTAGCGCTGTCCATGTTCAGTGCCATCAGCGTTCCAGGGAGGAGGGGGGAGGGCATGAGTGAAGGCTGCCAGGACTTGACTGGGCAGAGTGCGATGATTTTATTCACTAGTATGTGATTATTGCTGCTGTGGGGGAGAACGGTGGAGGCAGAGTGGTGGGCTTCTTGCCTCATAGGGCTCGAAGGGGAGCAGGGCAGCCCCTCGTGTATTCTGGGAGAATTGATACACTTGAGCCTCATGATGTGGCACCCTAAGGGGAGACGGGGCCTAAAGAGAAAGAGAAAGAAAGAACAACTTCCACAAATGTTCACTTTCCTACCGACACTAATCTTTCCCACACTGTCTTTGTACATTTCAAAGAGTTGGTCTCCCGCTTGTGGGCCGCTGCCATTTCCCCCCGTGGCAGGGAAGGCGGGCTTCCTTGGGCTGACTTGAGTACGGTGAGTTCGGCATGTTGAAGTCAGCATGGGCCTTGCTTGGCTGGGGAGCGGCAGGATGAGGCTGTAAGGTGGGAGGGCAAGGAGGGTGTCGTGTGCACGCCCGGGAACCTGGACTCCCTGGTGGAGTTCTTACTGCGGTGGGGTGTCAACTCCCAGGAGCGGGCAGCAGCGGCAGGCCTGCCAGGACGGTGCCTCAGGTGCTGTGCGAGCAGGTTCCCCGTGAGAGTGCAGCAGCGAGGAGGCGCTCGCTCAGCACTGCGTAGGTCAGAGTACAGCGCATCTTAGTTTGCTGTGTACAACTTGAAGCAGAGAATACCGAACCACATCTCTTGATCGCTATTTGGTCCGATGAAAGTAAGTTAACGTGCGGAGAACAGGTTTCTACTGCTAGTTGAAGGTTATTAGAATTATACTCGATTTTCTTTTCTTTTATTAAGATCATGAAGTAAAGTATGCAGATAAACCCAAACTAGTTTTTTCCCCAGGATCAGCATCCAGGGTTTGGGTGACGGAGCCGTGGGTAGTAAGCCTCAACGAGGACTGGACTGAGGCAGGACCACGAGGCACGTTGTTTAAGCACGAGGCATCGATTAAGCAGGAAGAGTAGGGTTGTCCTTCAAGAACGTTTCACAGTTTGGATGCTTGGGCCTTCAGCTTTGCTCATTTTAAACGATAGCTCCGCCAGTATTTTTTAGCATATCCAAAGGCCTTTCTAGATGAGACAGACCACTGGATTGAACATACGGTGTGCCTGTATCCTAAATTTATGCCTGCCAAATGTAAGTGTTTCATCCCTTCTGTGGGCTCCCACGGGGGTAAACTCCTGAACTGACCTGTAGGGACTTCGTCAAGTCATGGTCACTTACTTGCTGGTGTTCTGGGAAGCACCATTAATGCCTTCACTCAGAAAACCTTGAGTTGAATCCACCCTAGTGAAGCAGGGTGGCGTTGATGGGCGGTCGCACTGCGCCGTACACAGTGTGGGGGGAGCGGCTGGCCAGAATGGAATTTCCAGGTGATAGCTGGTCCCTGTGACTTGCGTTGGAGCTTTATTGGCCCCACCACCTTTGCACTTAACCTCTGGTGGCACTTGAGTTGTTTACACATGATCTGGGGAGGAGCCGCCTGAGCACAGCCAGCCCACCAAGGGCTTGCTGAGAATGCCCAATGGGAGCAGCTAGGAGATGAAGGCTTTACTCTGGCCACAAAGTAAGTGATTAAACAAACCTACCAATTTAGCTTTTCACTGGTAATATTCATACCATTCCAAGCTTGTCTTGCGGTCCTTGATTTATGGGGAGGTAGGGTAAGAGATGGGCCCACGGGTCCCTTTCCCTTGGGAAGTCAAACTGTTCCCTGGAGGAGCCAGCTGCTCCTTCAGATGGAGGGTGGGCGAAGGAGGCTATGGCTGCCCATCTCTCTTTCCAAAGCTGTTGCTCAAAGATGTCTCATCATGAGGAGAAAAGAGCTTCCTTTTGTTCACATTCAGGACGCCTAGTGCCATATAATGTAGCAAAAGGCAGTATCAACCAGATCAGTGTTAAATTGATTGTAAAATGACAGTATCCCCATCAAAACTTCTATTTTAGGTGTTGGATTATGTTTGCATTATGTTTGCAAGAGTGGGTTGGGGGACAGGGCATTTCCTCATTGATTTAAATCAGTATGAAAATTGTATGCCTAAATGAAAACCCAAAGTTTGCACAGGTAGAAATCTCTCGGTTGTGGCTGAGAGAGGCTGCCAGAGGAGTCTTTGAAGATGGTATTCCATGAAGTCTAGCTCTGCAGGATTTAATTGTTGGGTAGAAGTAGCAGGGGCTGAGTAAGAGGGGGATTGCCAACACTGAACAGAAACCAGGATTACCACATTGTACTGAAACCCCAAGGAAGCAAAAGGTGACGAGGGGCTGCTCCCCAGGCTTAGCTGCCCCCCTCAGCTCACTCTCCCACTAGCCATCCCCTAGGCCCTTGGGCGGGACCCACTGACACTGCGCATCCTCAGCAGACATTCAAGCCAGATGTCTGCCTTGGCATCCGGATGTGTGGTGATAATGCCATTGACGTAAGAATGCACACAGGGACTCTGTAACCTACAGACCAAGACCCAGCCCAGCCTGGAGCCGCCTGGTGGGCCGCTGGCTGCTGGCCGGGCACAGATTGCCATGCCCAGGGTCCAGGCTGCTTCAGCCCATCCGCTCCCCACTCGCCTGGGGCCAGATGGCTGTTGTTTCTTGTAAAATTGTGGACTTTTAAACCCTGTTGACTAAACAGTAATTAATTTATATTTGTGAGAAAAAAATGCCACTGTCCTAGTGATTTCTGATGTAAATAATGTTGTTTATATAGTATGTATTAAATTTTCCTACATTGTAAAACTGCTGTACTTTTGATTCTTGTATATTAAAAAGTGTTACTAAGGATTTCTAGAATCGGGCTGACAATTGGCATTGCATTTGGTGTGGGCTGTGTGGCTGGAAATGGCTCATCCTACAGGTGGCTAGGGCATCCAGGGTTTGGGGCAGATGTGAAAAGGAGCCTTCTGTATCTCCTGTGTGCCAGCCGGCCGGGCTTGAGATTGAACTGTACAGTCCCCAGGCCTGAACAACTTCGTCCACACCCCACAGCCCTGCACTTCGAAGGCTGACTTGGCGCCCGAAGCAGCCATTTGCTCAGGGCTGCCGTTAACTTCCCCCCATGTCTTCCTTGCCCCATGGGGAGCGTCCTGGAAAGACTGGAGGCTGCATTTGCAATCTGGGTCCCCAAATAGGAACTCTGCAGCCCCGCCCTGTTCAATAAAATTTACTTTATGTGCCATCCTGCAGCCGTGAGGGGGCTTTAAGAGTCATAAATTCTTGGGGGTGGGGGGAACATTTCCTAATGGAAGCACTGACCCAATTGCTAACTAGCCATTTAGCTTGGGGCAGGCCCAGCTCCTGCAAGGCCGAGGCAGAGGAAGGGCAGCCCCGTCTTGCAGGCGGAGAGATTGGCCCACGCCCTGGGATTTTACAGATAGTTGAATGGCTTTGAAACCAAACCAGTTGTGAAGCCTCCAGTTTTTGGTACCTAAATCGGCAAGCCTATGTGCCCACCCAAGAGTTAGCGCCCCTGACCACTCGGTGGAGAGAGCAGCGTGCTAAGAACGCCCGGGGTGGTTTGACCAGCCGGGCCGCACACGTGCAGAGGGGCGGGTGCCAGGGCCCGGAGCAAACCGGGAGGCCAGAGGGCCGAGCTATTCCTGCCCACGGAGGAACACAATCCTGCGGCAACGCGAAACTCACCTGGCACGACCTGGGGCCATTTTATTTTAAGAACAAGTGCTACAGTAATCAGCTTATTAAGATTTCCCACAGCAACAGACTTTGGACTGCTGTCCAAACACCGCCTTTTACTGGAAGCGTCGGCCCCGGCCTCCCCCCTCCCTGGTTAGTGCCCAGTCTGAGCTGCGGGCTCCAAACCGAGCCCCTAAAGGAGCAGCAGCCGGGCTTCACCCGAATTGGAACTCCGCAGCCACGGCAGGTGGTTCTCCCACTTTTAACAAATGGACGTGGTCAAGGGAGGCGGCCCGAGGGACCCGCGGTCCCGTATGAACGTGGGCCCCAGAGCAGTCTGCCCCGCCGTTGCCTGCGGGGAACCCATGTCAGTTGTCTGGGCGTCTGGGTGACTTCCCAGCCGGGGATGTGCTTGTGGGACATGGGGTAGGGTGGGGAGGTGGCGACAGATGTGGCGTGGCCAACGCTTTGCCTCGGACCACACCGTGAGTTGGCAAAGGGGGGGACCCTGGCAAGGTTGGCTTGCGGACTCCTTCCCTCCAGCGTTCGGGACAGCGGCCATGCGGAGGGTTTGCACACCTTCATTTCCCTTACGCTCGCCAGGTTGTCACGGAGATGGGGCGCCCCATGGGCCGGGCACCTGCCATTCTTTTTGGAAGGCGGTGGAATGGCGGCCCCAGGGGGCGGTCGCTGCTGGGAGCCCAGTGGCCACCAAAGGTGGGCCCCACATGTTTGGGGAAAATCCGACATCCTGAGAAACTGGACGTGTACTTCCAGGACTGTTCAGCAGAGGGCAGCACAGGTCCACTCACAGTTCCCACGGTGGACCCCCCACCCCCACCACCAGAGCATCACTGTGACCCGGCGAGGAGGCTGGGAGCAACCAGGAGGCCGAAGGGCTGGGAGTGCCGGCGGTGAGGCTGGTGTCTCTGGCCACCCTCTCGGAGGCCTTGGCAGCCAGGCTTGGTGCTGCCCCGCTTGGCCCTCACCTGCAGCTACAGCTCAGGTTGCGTGATGTGCGTGATGTCCTCCATGGGGCTGCCCTCCCTCCCAGCTTCTGGCTGTTCGCAGCCACGTGTCCCCTCACATGCACCTACTGCTTCCTTGGACCCACCTTAATCTCCCTTGGCCAGGCTCTGCAGCCTCATATCGAGCAATCAACACACAACACAACACAACACACACACACACATGCCCGGCTCC